GTGACGTACAAGGCTCGTCACACCAAGGCTCCCACGAGCGAGCGGCAACATAACAGTCTCTGAACACCAGGGCTCCCCACGGAGAACGGCGACGTAACAAGCTCTTCACACCAAGGCTCCCAGGAGCGAAGGGTGCCATGAGCCCTCTCGTGCCAGTTCCTGAGGCGCTTCTTCCGTTTCCGTGCCGGTCCAGGTTTGTTGGCCTTCGGCCTATCCCGCTGCCGCGCTTGGCAAGGGCTGTAGGTCAGAGGCCTCTCGGGGCCCTCGTGGCCCGTTTTAGGGCGCTCGCGGCTTCGAAAGAGTCATACGGGAAGCGCTTGAGGAGCTACGGCAGGCACGCTGGGAATCCCGGAAATTCGAGAATCTTCGGTCTGGGCCCCGTCATATTCAATTTTGGCGACCTGAGGACTGAGGACTACAAGGAATCTGAGAGCGCTCCAACTCGTGCCTCGCGGCACGGTGGCAGATTTGGCCACCCCTCGCGCCACGCCCGTGTGAGCGCCGCCAAAAGGCGGAGCATAATGCAGGAGGAGGAGGAGGAGGAGGAGGAGGAGGAGGAGGAGGAGGAGGAGGTGGGGCTGAGTTTAGAGCCAACCTGCCAGTCGCTTAGCTCCCGCTATATTGAACATTTTACAGCCTCCCTTCCCATACTCGTGCATTGTGGGCAGGCCTCGAGCACCAAGGAAGAGAAGGAGGAGGAGCAGGAGGAGGAGGAGGAGGAGGAGGAGGAGGAGGAGGAGGAGGAGGAGGGGGGGGGGATGGGGCTGGGAGGGAGGAATAAGAGGCACAGTTGAAATAGGGAGCAGGGTATAGTTGGAAGGAGAGGGACGATGGGGGGAGGAGCAATGGGATGAAGGATGACCGTGGCGGATATGACACCGGCATGTAGCTATTCGTCGTCGTCGTCGCCGCTGTCGTCGCCATTGGGCTGATTTCGTCGCCGTCGTCGACGCCGTCATGGAGCTACGTCTCCTTTCCTGGCCCGCCTCCCCGCGGACCCCCCGCCCGAGCAGGCCGACGATGCCGACCCTGCCGCGGCCGCGTCCCCCGCGCTTCGTGCTGCGGCGGAGGTCGCCGCGGCAGGCGCGGCGCGCCGCGCGCGTGCCGCGCGCGCCACGAGCGCACCGCAAGCGTGCCCGCGCCGCGCGCGCCGCCTCGAGGCGCCGACGACGTCGCCGCCGACGGTCGTCCCGGATCCCCGACGATTTGTTTTTTCCAAACTGGTTTCGGTTTCGGTTGTATTTGTTGGTTCCTTGATTTTTTCTCGCTTCGGGATGCTTCCCAGCAGCTGCGCCTCCCCGAGAGCATTCTGGGGGTGCCCGAATCGTCCCGAACTACCGCCAGAGATTTAAGTCCTGGCTTGGAACCCGAATTTCCGATGGTATGTTTTTCCGATCAGGTGTTTTTGGATTTCGGCCTCTTGGGCCCGTTATCGGGCCTTGACACCACCAAAACGGATCTTGGGCGAAAAGCTGCTGATGATGAGATAGATGAGGATGAGGTTGAGGATGATGATGATTACGACGATGCTGATAATTGTGGTGGTGATGATGCTGATGATGATGGTGCTGATGATCATGATGATAATGCTGATAAGGATGATGATGCTGATGATGATGATGATGATGATGATGCTGATGCTGATGATGTCGATGATGATGCTGATTTGGATGATGACGATGATGATGATGATGATGATGATGATGATGATGATGATGATGATGATGATGATGATGATGACGACGATGATGATGATGATGATGATGATGATGATTTGCTGATGACGAAGGTGATGCTGCTGCTGGATGCTGGTAGTGATGATGGTGATGACGAATGCTGATTAGGATGCTGCTGTTCGTATTGTTGCTGATGGTAGTGTTGATGATGTTGATGATGCTGCTGCTGATGATACGATGTTGACGATACTGATAATCATGCTGATGATGCTGATGATGCTGATGATGCTGATGATGCTGATGTTCATGCTCATGCTGAGGCTGATGATGACGACCATGGCGACTACGATGATGGTGATGATGACGATGCTGGTGACGATGGTGGTACTGCTGATGTTGGTTGTGGTGCTTGTTGGAGGTGGTGCCGACGGCGATGATGACGATGCTGCTGCTGATGATGATGATCATGCTGATGATACGGATGATGATGATGATGATGATGATGATGATGATGATGATGATGATGATGATGATGATGATGGTGATGCTGATGCCGAAGGTGATGGTGATGATGACGATGCTGATGCGGATGATGTGATGATGGTACTGATAATGATGGCGTACTGGCGTTTATACTTCCGATGGTGATGACGTTTCCGATCCTGGTACTACCGCTGATGATGTTTGTTGGTGATGATGATAACTATGATGATGCTGATGATGCTGCTGCTGATGATGATGATGCTGATGAGGATGACGACCAAAACGATGGTTGTGCTGGTTGTGGTGGTGGAGATATTGTCGATGATACGGATCGCCCTGACGATAATTCTCATCAGGATGATTCTTCTGATGATGATGGTGGTGATTCTGATGGTACTGATGATGATGATGATGATGATGCTGATGATGATGATGATGATGATGATGATGATGATGATGGTGATGATGAGTACGACGCTGATGTTGCTGATGCTGATGCGTGTGATCATGTTTATGCCGATGCTTTTGCTGATGGTAATGATGATGCTGCGGCTGATCGGGGTTATGATGCTGCTGACGACGACGACGGCGACCACGATGGTGACGATGCTGATGATGATGATGATGATGATGCTGATGATGATGAGGATGAGGATGCTGATGATGCTGTTGCTGGTGATGCAGATGATGTCGATGATGATGCAGATGATGTCGATGATGATGATGCTGCAGGTGATGATGAGTAGGATGACTACCTTGATGATGTTGATGCTGATTATGCTGATGCTGATTATGGGGGTGATGATGGTTATGTCGGTTAAGGTGATGCTGATGTTGATGACGATGATTTTGCTGCTGCTGATGATGATGACCATGATGATGTTGATGCTGCTGATGATTGTGATGATGGTGCTGTAATGAATGATGATGATGATGCTGATGATAATGATGATGATGATGATGCTGATGATGATGATGCTGATGCCGATGATGATGATGATGATGATAATGATGATGATGATGCTGATGATGATGATGATGATGATGCTGATGCTGATGATGGTGGTGATGATGATGCTGATGATGATGCTGCTGATGAGCATGATGATGATGATGATGATGATGCTGCTGATGTTGCCGATGCTGCTGTTGATGATGGTGATGAGGACCATGCTGATGAGTATGATGATGCTGATGATGACGATGATGGTGGTGGTGCTGGTGATGATGAGGTTGCTGTTGTTTCTGAAGGTGGTGATGATGGTGATGATGCTGATGCTGCTGCTGATGATGATGCTATTGGCGACGACGACGCTGATGATGCTGCTGGTGATGATGAGAAGGAGGAGGAGGAGGAAGAGGAGGAGGACCTGGACCAGTGTAAATCCAAGTGGCATCAACGATATTGGAATACACCCTCCCTCCAAGCTCCCTCTTCATACGCCCCTACACCGGTTTAGTTTTTTACTGCGGGAGCTGCGTCGTTGGAAGGCAATAGTTTGAAGACCCTGGAACATGTCAAATCATTGTTCTCGGGGTTCCAGGGCCACGGATTTACTTGACTGTTGCGTCTTGACGAACCTGAATCGTGCCAGAACGCCATTCCTGGGACTTGAGCACCGCAAACCAAAATAACCTGTGCACCCTCATAGGCCTGAACCTTTTCAAAGCACAATTTCTGGTACGTTGGTCATGGGAATCCTTGAAGCTCCTGCAACTTAACTTTCTCAGGCGAGTGTGCGCGGCGCTAAGGCGAGAGCCACATGTTGAAAAGGAGCCGCCCGCAATCCGTGAAACTCTTGCAAACTAAGACGATAGTGCGCGGCGCTAAGGCGAGAGCCACATGTGGAAAACCACTTGCCTTTAATCAGTGAAACACTTGCAATTTTTTAAGACGACTGTGCGCGGCGCCAAGGCGAGAGCCACATGTTGAAACCGATTTGCCCTCAATCCTTGAACATCTTGCAAATTTGAAAACAAGAGTGTGCGGCGCTGAGGCGAGAGCCACATTTTGAAAACGATTCGCCCTCCATCTGTGAACCTGTTGCCAATTTTTCCTTCAGGGTCATAAGTGGTGAGGTAGTGTCAGGCGAAACGCCAGGCCCGCCCTAACAATTGGCCTCGGGGTGCGACATGGAAAAGCTGAGAATTCAAAGCAGGAGTTTATGATTGTGGTGGGTGGTGGTGGTGGTGGTGGTGGTGGTGGGGATGAGGAGGACGACAATGATTATCTATGGGGGAGCAGGAGGAGGGAGGGCACCTGGGAGGGAGTGTTCGACTGCGCCCGCCCCTGCCGCAGTTGCCGATGACGGCGTTGCCTTGCTCACCGCCTTCCTCGACGTCCTGATCGGTGCGCGAGATCTAGGCTTCTTGCCCAATGAAACACTGAGTGTAAGTTGCTGCTCCTCCAGCTGCATCTCCTCCTCTTTCCCCTCCTGCTCCTCCATTCTCCCCCTCTTTTCCCCATCCTCCTGCCGCTGCTGCTCCCCCCTCCCATCCCTCCTCCGTGTCCGTCTTCGCCTCCGCCTCCCTCTCCTCCCTCTCCCCCTCTCCCCCTCCTCCCCCGCCTCCTCCACCTCCTCCATCTTCTTCTCCTCCTCCTCCTCCTCCTCCTCCTCCTCCTCCTCCTTCTCTTCCTCCTCCTCCTCCTTCTCCTCCTCCTCTTCCTACTCTTCTTCCTCCTCCTCCCCCCCTTTCCCCCCTCCCCTGCAGCCTGAGCCTCCTCCCACCGAGTCCATCTGTCCCTTCTTCTCGTCTCCGTCCTCGTCCACCTCCTCGCCCTGTCCCGCTGCCACCTCGACCTCCTCGGGTTCTCGCTTGGTCGCCACCGCCGCACGGCCCATGGCTCGAGAGGCACACAGCGTCTCCGCTTTCCGCCCCCGCAGCCAGCGTTTGCCCCCCAGGGCCCCACCTAGAGCAATGAAGATGCCGCTCGCGGCCCTCGCGCTCGCGCTCGCGGTCGCCCCCATCGCCCTCGCCGCCGGGAGCGAGGTGACGCCTGTGCAGAAGGCTCGGTCTTCGGTCGTCGTCGTCGTCGTCGTCGTCGTCGTCGTCCTCGTTCTGGTCGTCCTCGTCGTCGGCCCTCTCCTCCTCCTGCTGCTCCTCCTCCTCCTCCTCGTGCTCCTGCTTCTCCTCCTCCTCCTGCTCCTCCTTCTCCTCCTTCTCCTCCTCCTCCTCCTGCTCCTCCATCCCTTCTCCTTATACATAACTCTTCCCCGTCGCATCCCCAGGCGTGTCGGTACGGTGGGCCGGGGGTTTCGCTTAAGACTTCTTCGCTGTTTAATTTCCTGACGCATGTTGTTCAAGTCTTGCTTCCGTCTCAGAAAGGGAGCTAGACAGGTCATCACGCTCATGGAGAACATGCTCGCCAAGGGCAAGGCTGAGAAGCACGACGAGGAGGTCAGGCAGCGCGCCCGGGACGCGGGCGGTACCTCTTGAAACGTGGGGAAGATGAGGAAACGGAGTAGAGAGGAGCAGGAAGAGGAGGGAGTGGGGAGGAGGAAGGGAGGGAGGGAGGGAGGGAGGGAGGAGAGGTAGGATGATGATGATGATGATGATGATGATGATGATGATGATGATGATGATGATGATGATGATGATGACGATGATGATGCTGATGCTGATGCTGATGATGATGATGATGATGATGATGATGATGATGATGATGATGATGATGCTGTGATGATGATGATGATGATGATGATGATGAATGATGATGATGATGATGATGGATGATGATGATGATGATGATATGATGATGATGATGATTGATGATGATGATGATGATGATGATGATGATGATGATGATGATGATGATGATGATGATGATGATGATGATGATGATGGATGATGATGGAGAGGAGGATGGAGGAGGAGGAGGAGGAGGAGGAGGAGGAGGAGGAGGAGGAGGATGAGAAATGAGGATGAGGATGAGGAGTGGAGGATGAGAGAGTAGAGAGGAGGAGCAGGAGGATTTTGAGGAGGAGGAGGAAGAGGCTGGAGGAACACTGGCGCCCAAAGCATCAGCGAGGCGACGCCCAGGCCTTCGTGGCCGCTGTTCGCTACGCACTACGGAGGAAAGGAGATGCATCCGGAACGTTGCAGAGCGTCTTGGGCACTCGCGAAGGAGGAGAAGGCGTAAAGGAGGAGGAGGAGGAGGAGGAGGAGGAGGAGGAGGAGGAGGAGGAGGAGGAGGAGGAGGAGGAGGAGGAGGAGGAAGAGGAGAGGGGAGAGGAGGAGGAAAAGGAGGCTGGGGAGGAGGAGGAGCAGGAGGAGGAGGAGTAGGAAAGCCCATTTGGCCTCTGGCGGGCCTGGGCCGTGAACGATTTTCCGTTCGGCCTGATCGGTCGATCGCGCCGATCGACTCACGCCAATCGTGATCGGCCGCCCGCGGGGCCGGGCTCGCGCGCCGCGGCGGGTCGGCGATAGCCGCCGCCGCAGCCGCGACCCTGCGCCTGGCTGCGCGCCTGCTGGCGCGCCAGGTGGGGCCAGACGCCTCGGGAGCCCGCCTGGCACAGGCGGGAGAGGGCACGCCGCTCCTGGGCGAGGGCCCTGCTGCGCGTGGTGGAGGCGGCCAACGTCCTCAACGCCCACCACTCGGCGCAGCAGCCCCAGCGCCAGCAGCAGCACCAGCGCAGCCGCAGCAGCAGCGAGATGACGACGAAGGCGCAGCAGCAACACCAGCGCAGGCGCAGCAGCAGCGCCAGAGACTGGTCAGGTGACATCGGAGCCATCGGAGGACGACCCTGGGTGTGGGCCCGTGATGGCAGCCAGCATCACCAACACCAGCACAACGGATACCAGCAGCACAACGCACAGAGGCGGCAGCACAGCCAGCAGCAGCAGCAGCAGCAGCCTCAGCCCCACAAGCACCACCAACAGCCACCCACCACCAACACCAGCAAAAGCACCCACAGCACCAGCAGCGAAACGACAGCGCCCAGCACTGGAAGCACAGTGCACCATGGAGGGGCGCATCTGCCAGAAGGAGGAGCAGCAGGCGCAGAAGGAGGGACCAGCACGACGCTCCAGTCGCAACCCACATCGGCAGCTTCCAGTACAGCCCGCATCAGAAGGCAGTCCTGGACAGCATCACGCCAGTCTCCTTCGCCGTGGCGATGGAGCATGAGAGCTGGTCCGCACCGCCAGGCGACGAGGAAATGCGGTTCGTGTGGTACAAGACGAAGTGCCACAGGCTGGGGCGCCTCTGCGAGAACATCGCTGGCGCTAGGCTGGCGGGATTGTGCACATCAGGCCTCGAGCAGGAAGCGGCGATCGCTGCCGCGAACATCTCCTTCGTCTTGCCCCGCAAAGAGCGCATGAAGCAGCTCAGGGCTACGCTGGAGAAGCTGGAGGAGGAGCACACCGAGATGGAGAAGCGGTTCGGCAGGATTCTCGACCAGGAGGCGGCGGCCGCTAGAACCATCAGGGTCTACAGGGCCCTGCTGAAGGAAACTAGAGATCAGATGGCAAAGTCTGCGGATGTGAAGGAGGAATCGTCAGAGGAGGAGGGGAGTGTGGACCCCGCCAGAGGACGTGCGCCGCACCCGGCAGCGACGAAGAGGCGCAACCCAGCTGCAGCGCTAGCGGCGCCAGCCACAGCGCAGCCAGGCAGAGCAGCGAGTGCCTCCTCGGGAGCAGCTACAACTGCACGATCAGCCCCAGCAGCGCCAGACAAGATCAAAGACGCCATCAGGAAATTGACCGAGAGGCTCGACTTGGAGCAAAGAAAGGAACAGCAGCAAAGTGACTTGTTGGCCCAGGCAGAGTCCAAGCACAAAAGCGAGCTGGAAGCCTGCGAGCAGACCATGGCGCAAAAAATGATCCGCACGACTGAAGCGCAGCTGGCCAAGCAGGAGGAGTGGCACACATGGGAGGTCAACGCGCTCAAGAGACACCGCAACGCCAAGCTGGAGGAGGAGGAAGCGAAATCATACGAGGCGCAGAGAGGCAGCCAGAGGACGCAGGAGGAGAGGGCCAAAGGGATGCTCGTGGACCTGCAAAAGCACCTCGAGTTGGAAAAGAAGATACTACGCGAGGAGATGCACAAGGAAGACCAGAGAAGAGCAGCCATCTACACGCAGCAGGTCGAGAAGGCCAGGCAGGAGGAGCAGGCTGTGAGACAGATGGCGGCTCAGGAGGCCCAGTGGTGCAAGATGGCGCAGGAGCACAACGAAAAGGCGACGCAGGAGGTGGCGGAGGCGGAATGCCAGGAGCGATGTGCCCGGCGCAGCGCCTACAAGGAGGAGGAGTTGCAGATCGCAGTGACCTACCAGCAGATGGCCTACGAGCACCAGGAAGAGGCCAACAGGCGCGAAGCGATGCGGGTCGTCCTGGACCTGGAGCACTCGGCCATCCAGGCGAAGGCGTACGAGATGCAGCACGAGCAGGAAAAGTACTTGGAGCGTGTCGGTGAGCACCAAGAGGCGGTGGACAAAGCTCAAAGGTTGGAGGAGGTGGCTCTGCAGCGCCAAGCAGCAGCCACGAGCGAGCTCCAGGCATTACAGCACCAACAGGAGTTGAAGAACCACGCGTCCCAGCAGTACCACAGCACTCTGCAGCACGAGCACCAGCAGGAGATGCAGGCCGCGGTGCAGCACTACGCCCACATCCAGCACATGGGCGACATGCAGAGGCAGCAGCAACTACAAGACCTCCAACGAGTGCATGATCGGCAAACGGCAGGGCTCCAGAACGCTCTACGGGACGCCTGGGGAGCAGGACGACAAGTGGGCGAAGACCTGCTACTCGATATCACGGACGACCTCGTGGAAGACCCAGTCACGAGTGAGCGTGGCCAAAGCATGGCGGAGCAGGAGGGCAAGTACCAGAGGGAGCAACTGGAGGCGGACCTACTCCGGCTTCTACCTAGCCAGTACGAGCTCCCACATCCCGAACTGCCGCCGTACCTCGAGGAGCTGGCCGAGGTGGGATTTGGAGAGAGGTCTCATACATCGTCGATGCCAACGCCAGAAGAGCCGACCCTCTCGCCGTTCGGCGACCTCAGCTCTCTAGACCTGAGCGTCGTGCCGAGGCCACCCGCTGAAGTGCTTCTGCTACCGCCGCCGCCAACTCAGCAGCGCTCGCCCTTCGAGGAGCACGCCGGCATCGATCCATTTCCCCACCTGGCCAACCCGAGGCTGGGAGAAAGAGAAAGGGCCGCCGCCGAGGAGCCCGGGGAGGAGGGGCTACTCGACGCACGGGCGAACAGCGACTGCATCCCAATTGGCGAATCCGACGACGCTGACTTGCAGGAGGAAGAGCCGAAGATGGGCCAAGACCTGCGCGAGGAGATGGGTGACGAAGCCCCGACAGACCTCGCCTCGCTCTCACCAGCGCTCCCAGCCGACTCACCCATTCCGACAGAACAGCCCACGCCAAGGCGCATCATTTTCCCACCCGTCACGCCTCTCACGCCAAACAAGAGCCCACAACAACGACTACAGCCAGCCCAAACCCCCATGACGACCTTGTTCATCGACCTCAGCCGCGACGAGGAGGCCTGCCCCAGCACACCTCCACGGATGCCGATTGAGGACATCGCGCCCACCGTGCCACGCGAGCCACGGCTGCCACCTCCGCGCTTCCACATGGGCACGCCAGAGAGGACGAGCTCAGCACCACCTTGCAGAGGCAGGCAACCTGAAGCAGCCAAGAGAGCCCAGGAGGGCGAGGAGCCAGCCTAAAAAGGTCAGGATCTGCGACGCGGACGATGGCTTCGCGGACCCAGGTGACAGGGTGGCATCCTTCATCGAGAGCGGCGAGAGCGACCTCGACGGGGGTCGATTGTCAAAAAACTGAGAGGGAGTACGCAGGCTGGGGGGCAACTGGCCCAGACCTGCGCCCAGCCATCCACACCAGAAGACAATGGGGATATGGAGCCCAGACTCAGAGACCCGTGCGGTGACGAGCCTACGCCCAGCCACCCCCACCCGCGGCCCCTGGCCGCCCGCGCACAATCGCACCTTGCTTCCATCACACTACATAGTTACGCATAAGCCGATGCGAGCCTTAGGGATGCCGCATCTGCTTCAGACCACCAGCGCTCCACTAGGGAGCCTCGACCCAAAAGACGCAGCAGACGAACCATCTGCACTACCAGCTCCCTAGACGCCGAAACTGTGGGCAAGGGTGGGGACCACCCACAGGACGGCGACTCCAGGCATGAGCGCTCCAAGCGCGGACCTGAGCGACTCCCTCAGGCCGCGACCCCCCCTTGCCACCAGGGCTCATGCTAGCTACCAGCACCGCGAACGGGCGAGGCTGCAGCAAGAGTGGGAGAGCTACTCGAGCAGCCAGCCGCAGTGCCAGCAGCGTGGACCACGGCGGCACCCCTTGGCCATGCCAGGACCGACACCCCACTCCGCGGGAGCTGCGGCGGCCCATGCGGCGCCGCAACC